GTTCGGGCCGGCTGATTCCCAGGTAACCCTGAGGCCCGGCCCGGCCCGGCTACGTGCCCAAGGTTCCCGCTACTCTCTTCAGGGAGCAGGTTGTGAACCTCCAAGCGCTGCCCTCAGAGGAGGCAGACTCAACCCTGGTTTTGCTCTGTCCCGTCCAAGCCTTAAGGTGCTACGTAGACCGGACGCAAAGCTTCAGGACCTCAGACCAGCTCTTTGTCTGTCATTACTTTTTATCAAGTAACTAGTAAAGTAACGCATTACTTTTTAATTTACAAGAGAACATGTGAGTTACTTTTTCAAATAAGTAATGCAAGTTACTTTTTTTCTAGATTTAAAAAGTAACACAAAAGTAACATAACGCATTACTTTCCATAAAAAGTAACTAAGTAGCATAATTTGTTACTTTTTATGGAGTAACGCAATATTGTAATGCATTACTTTTAAAAGTAACTTTCCCCAACACTGCCCATCAGTAGGCTTTAATACAATAACAAGGTCTTTTAATAAATATGATAGACACAATAAAGCAATGTGGCAAAATGTGGTGATTATTTGTTGTGCGAAATAACCCCTTTAAATGTATTTAAAAGCCACCCTTGCTATGCCTTCAAACTGCCACAGATTTTGGGGGGGAAGGACATGTTATGCACTATACCATTTTGTTTCCATTTTTAACTAAATTAAAAAATGTTGGAGATAAATATTGCAATTTTATACCAAACATTTCCTAAATCTATTACTTATCCCAACACTGTATAAACACACATGGTGTTACATATTAAAGGCCTACATTTAAAATGTATATATTTGATTTGCAAATAAAATTTCCATCCATTTGGATTACACAGTTTTAATATAAACTAATAAACTTAATGTGATGCATATTCATCAGTCATACATACATAAAAACAGGTAAGCAAGACATAAGATTTCTGTTAGAGTATTAATAAACGGAATGTGTTTTATATACAAAATAACCAAGTTTACCTAATTATCATCCATAAATCAACCTTGTGTGAATCTCATACAATTTTTAAATATTTGAATGTTGCTTGTTCCACAGCTACCCATATTTTACCATGCTCATACTTTTAAACTGAAGAAGTATAATTATTTTCACAATTAATAGCATTTTGCATTTTCTGCGTATTCTGGATTTATGCATATTCTGCGCATTCTGGATAAATGCATTTTTTTATATATATATTGTATATATTGTTTTAATAAAATCAAGTAGATGTGAATAGTTAATATGAAAATACACCATTATTTATTTATTATTTTTGCAATAGCTTCTTCAGGTGTGCTAAAGTGTGATGTTGCTCATCCATATGCTAAACTGAGGATTTACAATCATCTGACGATTCAATCCAAATTTATGTAAATTTGATTTGCAATTCAAATATGCCTACATAAATCTTAAAAGCCCTACATAATGTATGTTGTGTATTATTTAACATGTAAAAGTCAAAATTATATATAAAATTTAACAAGCAAATTCACAATACACATTTTGTCATTCAACATATATTAAACTGATCACAAATTAAATTATAACCCAAATGTTATTTTTTTAATCCTCATATTTGTAAGAGAGAGAGACAGAGAGAGAGAGAGAGAGAGAGAGAGAGAGAGAGAGAGACTTTGACTTCATAATTGTGTGTTCATTGGATTTCATTTTTGTCCAAATGTTATTTTTTTAATCCTCATATTTGTAAGAGAGAGAGACAGAGAGAGAGAGAGAGAGAGAGAGAGAGAGAGAGAGAGACTTTTACTGTGACCTCAGGAATAGGTGTTCATGTGATTTCATCACTGTAGCTATTTCTAAGTGGTTAATCTGACAGTGTTACAACCATCCCCATTCTCACCTATTCCTGCACTAAGACTGTGGCCATTTTCAATCCATTGTAAGCATGCACATAATTTGTAGTCTACACTAATTGCAATACTTCAACTGTGCATATATTTGTGTCATATAAAAAGAAAGTGCATTTATAGCCAACACTAAAATGTAACAAATTCAACAAATCCCCTGAGCTTCCCCTGAGATTCACGGCATCCCTCGCTTATTATGCAAATAGAAAACACGATCATAAACGCATATCATGAAAATGATTTAGAAGCGCATCATCTTGCGTTATTCACGTTAGAAACATGAATTCCCTCACTACTGTCGTGACTGATTTCCCAAATATAAGCAGGGGGTAGGGGGTGGGGGGCGTTCAGTGGGATGTTGTAATCATCATTCCAGCAATGTGTCTGCTCATTGAGTCACTTAGACAAGCCAAGATGTAATTTTTAGCTACAGAAGCACACGCCAAGGGATGTGCTGTCTTTCATTGCCAACTGTCCCAAATCTGCAAATGAGCGCTCCTCTCCTCCAATGTCCTACACACACTGAACCCTTACCTTGATACTGGGCACTAAATCCTTTCCTCCGATGGTTGCTGTCAGACGTGAAGTGAAGCCGCAGCCAATTCTTGCTACTGATGACAGGGGATGGCAAATTCATTCCAGTCAGCCTGAAAAGAAACAAGATTTTCATTTCACTGAACAAAAAGGCGATTAAAATCAACTGTACGATCAGCTTCATTATAAAATTACATGACATAAAATAAATAAGAACACAGTTTTGCACACATATGGGTTGCAAAAAACCTTTAATTTGATTCAATGAACATTGAAGTAGATTCATATAAACAATTCAAATGTAATTATTTAACCACTCTCTAATCTTATTTTACAAACATATCCTTAATATTGTGTTGGAGTACTACCGTATTGGCCCGAATATAAGACTACCCTGATTATAAGACGACCCCCCTTTTTCCAGATGTACCTTTTGGAAAAAGGCTTTTTAAAAACCTTTTTGTTTTTTCTCAGTAAAACACATGTTGTCTTCAATTATTTTCATATCGCATATTTTTCCTATTTTAATTTTTGTTTTGAAAGTATGGTAAAAACTGGTAAAATGTACCAAAAATCACATTTAAAAAAATTGTGTATTATTGACATGTCAAAGTCTAGACCCTGAATATAAGATGACCGCGTTTTTTCAGATGTATTTCCCAGAAAAAAACATTGTCTTATATTCGGGTCAATACGGTAATTAACAACAGTTTTGGGACACCCAACAATGTCCATTTGAAGATTAAATGAAACTGAGAATAGCGAATAACTTAGCGCTAACTTCTTTTGTGAGACGTGCTTCTTTCTAAAATGCATCTTGGCATATGGATGATCACCATCTCACGTTAATAGCACCTGGAGAAGTCACTGGTAAAATAAAATCTAAATTTAATAACACTGACTCCATTGTGAGACCAAAAAAAAATTAAAAATGTAATCTTGCATTGTTTCCATGACATGTAAGCCATGACGGTAATGGTTTGAAACACTAGTGTGATTTGCTAATATAAGATGACCGCGTTTTTTCAGATGTATTTCCCAGAAAAAAACATTGTCTTATATTCGGGTCAATACGGTAATTAACAACAGTTTTGGGACACCCAACAATGTCCATTTGAAGATTAAATGAAACTGAGAATAGCGAATAACTTAGCGCTAACTTCTTTTGTGAGACGTGCTTCTTTCTAAAATGCATCTTGGCATATGGATGATCACCATCTCACGTTAATAGCACCTGGAGAAGTCACTGGTAAAATAAAATCTAAATTTAATAACACTGACTCCATTGTGAGACCCAAAAAAAATTAAAAATGTAATCTTGCCTTGCCCCCCCCCCCCCCAAGCCCAAGGTTCCTATTAAAACTTCTCCTCCACCTAGTGAAACTCAAGGTGTGTAAAATTTATGTTTCTTATTGTGTGTGTTCATTTTAAGGAATTATCCTGCAAGGGTTAGTTTGAAGCCATGACGGTAATGGTTTGAAACACTAGTGTGATTTGCTACTAGGGCACAGCTACAGTCCTGGAGCGAAATTTCTTCATCTGTTATCTTTGTTTTTCAGATTATCTGGTCCCGGTGCTTGCCAAACATTCAAATGGAATGACTGCAGAGGATATTTATCTGAAACATTAAATCCAACATTCGAAAGGAAGTAGAAATGGTCACAAATCAAAGACGTAACTAAATCCAATCAAAAGCTACAGAGTCTTGACAATAATCATTCATATCCTTAACAAGCATTAATGATGGCAGCTACAGCACAGTCATTAGCGTATAATTTAATATTCCATCCCAAATCAGAGCTTCATCTCCTTGATGAGGAGAGTATTTTGTCTTTGGCACTGAGATCTGAGAGGAGTCTGATATATTCTCTGTGTAGTATGAATGCGAGTGAATCTCATGAAACCTGTCAAGAACATGTCCGGGTCACATTTCTTAAAGAAAACAAAGCTTATTTTCAGCTTAATTTGTATGCAAAGTATAATTTAGATTTCCTTCTTTTGATTCAGGGGTGCTTTTGTGAGAGTCACCTTTATTTATTTATTTACTTATTACCAAAGCTCAATTCATTTTGTGGGGGAAATAAAATCAACAAAATGAGCTAATTACAAACAAGAGGCAGGCCTGTGTTCCAAACACTAAGCTGACAGGGTGTTTGGTGATGCTGAATGCAGTAAGTGAGGTAAAGCATGTCTGGCACAAAACTGCAGTGGCTTGCAATTGACGCACGCTGCTGTGTGAAGCCCTCATTTCTTTTCAAGAGTTCAACAGTGCATGAAAAACAGGTTGAGCTGAGGAGGCAAACGAGTAAGAAAGCAAAATGAGTGTGCTTTACAAGAGGCAGGCAACAGGGAGAGAAAAAAAAGAAACCCTGACAAAATAAGACTGCTTGAAGAGGCCTGTGCAGATAACACAGAAGCTAAAACACTGGGAGGAAAACAGCTAATGCAAAAATTAGTGCTGTCAATCGATTAACAAAAAAACAAACTAAATAAATAAATGTAAATAAAAAAATATAAATAATGAATCAAATTTTTTTCCTGAAATTAATCACGATTAATCCCACCTAACAAAGTTTTTTAAATATACTTTTATATTGCAATGATTTCACATTAAATCTTCAAATTAATGTAGAAACAACAAAGACAGTATATTTTTAATATTTGTTTAATGGCATCTTTTTTATGACTGAAGGCGAGTATCACTGATACTAATACTGATCTCTCTAGGAAACTGTTATTTTTTCCCCCTAATAGTTAACCATTGACTAGCCATTCAACATTCAACAGTATAATTGAGAGCTATTCATTTTAACATTCATTAGTCTTAAAGAAAAATAACTACTTCCAATGTAAGTGAAATTAAAACAATCCTCAGATAAACCCATTATAATAAATGTCATATTTAGCTGTGCCCTTCAGCAAGTAGGAAATATACAGAAATTTAATAGTTATCAAATAAATTCTAAATTAAATATACTGTAGAAGTATACATAAGGTTTCTTCCTTACATCCTAAGCTACAAAAGTTATTTTGTTCTTTAATTAATCACAGCAGCTGAGCTATTAGGTTATTTGGCTGCTATTACTTTAAGAGCTGCTGCTGCTGAACCTGACGTGGATCTGACTCGCATGCTCGTAGTTTCAGTCACGCTTTAATATGAAATGACAGACTACAGTGCGTCGCCGTATTTGTGCATGCAATTGAAGCGCGCATTCTACGAGCACAGTATAACAGCAGACAGGACAAGAAGATTAATTTTTATTGACATATGGCTTGACAACATCTCATCTGACCGCAGTTCACTGATGTTCTACTGAAGCTGCCTCATCACCTGTACCGTTTCTGCACTCGTTTGACTACCGCCTGTCGCTGAGGTGAAGTGGAGCACGCATCTGAAAAGTCTCCCATTTGATGTTGTCGTAAAGAAAATAAATAAACACAATTCTTGTCAAGAAATAAAGAGACAGAAGCAGCAGTTGAGTGGGGTGGCCAACCCTAGCCCCGCCCGTCCCTTCGTTAAATGCGTTAAATATGTCTAACTCCGTTAAACTGGAAAAATTAATCGCTTGTGTTAACGTTAATTTTGACAGCACTAATAAAAATGAATAAAGTAATAAAATAAAAATAAAAACATTTAGATGAATGTTCAAACTAGAATAAACTGATTTATAGATATTTGTTTGTTTATTTGTTTATTTATGAATTAAATGATTTACATGTAAACTTCAATATTATGTGGTGAAATAAAGTTGTTTGGTAAATTTAACTGTAAAATTAGCAAAACTGCCCATGTCTTTAAAAAAACAGTAGCAACAACAATAATATGATATTATACTGGTATATTATACTCCATATATTACAATACACATTATATATTAAGTACTTTAGAAGTAGTAGTAGTAGTGTTTTTGTTGTTGCTGTTGATGTATGTATTATATTGATGACAATCTGATAAATTATGATGCTGGGTTTAGAAAAGTCATAAATAAAGATTGTGTTGAGCAGCTGAAGAGATCTAAGGTCTTCAAAGAGAATGGCCTTTATTTTATTCACAAGTTGTAACCAAATTTATTCAAGCTCTGGCAACAGAGTCAGAAAGGTCAAGAGAGCAGGCCCACTTTGATGACTGTTGGCAATAACTGCTGAAAATGAAGTCCACAGACAACATTATGAGCAGCACTAGCAGAGGGGAGGGAATTAAAAAAAATCCTTTGAATTGCAGATTCAGACTACATGTTCTTTCAAAAACCCCAACCTGATTCCTTCAAAAAATCTGCAAGGTTTACGTTTGGCATCAAAAAATGTGTATTGCATTTGAACAGTATCAATGGATTAGTTTTTGGTCAATGTATTAATGTTGATGCCGATGACAGCTGGTTAATTTTGTTGTTGTTGTGATCATATCAAGTTCTGAAAATGGACATGAATGATTATTTTCATTGTAGAATAATATGTATAAAGAAAACAAAGCCAGCAAGAATTAGAACCATATTAAAGTTTTAAAAATCCTTCTCATGTTTTTTTCTTTAAGAAAAAAAAGATGAGGAAATAGCGTTTTCTAAAGAAAATAGTGTCCACACCAATAAATATATAAATATAAATATTATAAATAAACAAATAAATAAACTGTTGGGGTTTTATAAGTATCGATGAATCGATAAACTAAAAATGTTACAAACATTCTGATCCTTTGATGCATCAAAAGCAAAAAAACAACAACAACAAAAAATACATAGTTAGTGATACTGGATGCAATTGAAAGTAAACTGATTTCCTATTCTACTGTGACCATGATTAGCCAATGTAGCTGTTATCTGATTAGCTTGAGTAGACAGCATATTGAGTGTAGATTTGTGAACACATTTAGATGCTATAAACATTTCAAAATCCACAAATGCTTGCAGTGATCTAAAAATGCACCAGAATGCACCTTAACATATTGTACACTTATGGATCTCATTCTACTTATTTGATTTTTTTATTTGTGAATGTCTTTACATTGATTTGTGCATCATAATCTATTTATCTGCAATATTATCTTTAAATAGCTCACCTGATTTGCTCAAAAGTAGCCAAAAGACAAAACTTTTATTATTTAAAACTTCAGTGATTT